CCAGCCACTCTTCTCCCGTGGTGGGCGTGATTCCTTGAGGGCCCAGTTTGCCTGGGCCTAAGGACACGAGAAGGTCCAGGCCAGCTGTGGCCCACGTGTTGGGCAGTGGAGAGACGTTACTGGCCCTCCGGCTCCCAGGACAGTTAGGAAGAGACGGCTGCCAGCTGCTCATTCCTGTCCTTAGTGAGGGACCGGGGTCGCCGGGCAGTTTCCTCTGAGGGAATGGTTGGTTTTGAGCTCTGGGTCTGTCAGGACCAGGCCTCCGTCTCCTTACTCCGCTTATGTGTTTAGGTCCTGCATGGTGGAAGAGTCTGGAACCCTTGAATCCCAGCTCGAAGCCACTAAAGTGAGTGCCCCGGGGCTCCTGGCCCTAACACCTTCTCCCAACCACCCAGCAGGCGCACGCGTCCTTCTGGGCTTCAAGTCAAGAACCAGGGGCTGTTTGGAGACTCCTCTCCCTTGGCCTTGGGCAGCCCAGGGCAGTTTCTCCCTAGCACCCTCCTCAGAGGGGCCCTCTCGTGTCTTTAGGATACTGTCCCCTGGCAGGTCTGCCGACTGGTCTCTCTCTGCTGAGGGCTCTGGTCTCTTCAGCGTCACTCCCTACTGAACTGTTCGTTCTCAGGGCTCCCAGGCAGGCCGGGAGCAGTAACCTGACTGAGGAGGGCGGGGGTCAGCTCCTGACTGGGACCTTGGCAGAGCCCCTGGCCCATGCCCCTTTGCACCCCACCCTGCAGCGCAAGCACCAGGAGATCCGAGCCATGAGGAGTCAGCTCAAAAAGATCGAGGACCTGGGGGCCGCCATGGAGGAGGCCCTGATCCTGGACAACAAGTACACGGAGCACAGCACCGTGGGCCTGGCTCAGCAGTGGGACCAGCTGGACCAGCTGGGCATGCGCATGCAGCACAACCTGGAGCAGCAGATCCAGGCCAGGTACCCGCGCCGGGGCAGGGGGGCGCAGGTGGGCGGGGTGCAGGAGGGGTGCAGGAGGGCCTCGGCCACAGCCGAAGCTCAGCCCAGAGCTGGGAAGGGAAGAGCCAGGACAGTAGAGAAAGGCATGTGACCTCCTGTCACTTTCAGGAACACGACAGGAGTGACCGAGGAGGCCCTTAAAGAATTCAGCATGATGTTCAAGTGAGTACAGCCCACCCGCCCTGGGGCCACTCCGCGCAGCCGTGTGCTGAGCAGCTCTGGGCTTTGTGCTGCAGACACTTCGACAAGGACAAGTCTGGCAGGCTGAACCACCAGGAGTTCAAGTCCTGCCTGCGCTCCCTGGGCTATGACCTGCCCATGGTGGAGGAAGGGGAACCAGACCCTGAATTTGAGGCAATCCTAGACACTGTGGACCCAAACAGGTAGGGGGTGGGAAGGCATGGGCACCCCTCTGCTCTGGGTCCTCTCCCACCCCCTCTGCTCACCTCACTGGCTTCCCTGCCCTCTGCTCCCCAGGGACGGCCATGTCTCCCTGCAAGAATACATGGCGTTCATGATCAGCCGTGAGACCGAGAACGTCAAGTCCAGCGAGGAGATCGAGAGTGCCTTCCGGGCCCTCAGCTCAGAGGGGAAGCCTTATGTGACCAAAGAGGAGCTCTACCAGGTAGGCCTGGGCACAGGGAGCTCCCCGTGGAGCAGCGAAGCTGCGGGGTGGGCCCAAGTGTGTGGCAGAGCCGAGGCTAGGGTGGCAGTCCCCATTTTTGGACCCGGTCATGGTGCTGAGTACAGGAGTTCTATGCCCACTGGGAAATGGAAGTCAGCATGTGCAGGCGGCCCCGGCCAGCTGGTAGGACCGGCTCTGACCCAGGAGCGCACACATCCCGATGCGGAAGGTGTAGAGGCCTGCAGCAGGCCGGGCCGACAGGTACCGTCTCCCCTCCAGAACCTGACCCGAGAACAAGCCGACTACTGCGTCTCCCACATGAAGCCCTACGTGGACGGCAAGGGCCGGGAGCTGCCCACGGCGTTTGACTACATCGAGTTCACCCGCTCGCTCTTCGTAAACTGATGTGCCGTCCTTGGTCAGCCCGTGCCGTCCCCTGCTGTCGCCTTCTGCATGTCAACTCATCTGTGTGCTCCTAAGAAATCCTCCAGACAGTGTAACCTCCCTGCTTAGCTCGGGATACAACGTAGAACAGGGTGCTTCCAAGCCGCTTCTGGTCTGGTCACACTCACCGCCTTGCCATGGGACCCAGATCCCTGTCTCGAAGCCAGCTGCCTCATTCCGACTTCCGAAAAATCTGAGCTGCTGGTGTGTCCCTTTCTTGTCCTCCCTCCACCCCAGATTTTCTGTTTTCATGTAAAAGGCAAATAAATGACTCTCCCCAAAAGTTGTATTGTTCTTCATTCAGAAATCCAGGACTCAGCACAGCTAGCACCGGTGGGACCCGCCTCTAGTCCCTGTGGCTCCCTTGGCGCCCTCAGGTGGCCACCTCTGCAGCCAGCCGGTCCAAGTCCTCTGATTCCCGGGGCCCCTGCTCCGTGAACTCTGTGCTCAGCTGCCACACCATCACGGTGCCCCTGGCATCACCAGCCGCCAAAAGCTGGGTCTGCTGGCTGTTGAATTCGAGGCAGTAGACAGGGCTTTCGTCCTGGGTTTGCTTGATTGAGATGGTGGGTCTCTGGGAGCTTTGCTGGAGGTCAAACAGCTGCACGTCTCCTGCAGGGACAGAAATTGCTGGTGCCAGAGAGCCCTGGGGCAGCAGCCTCCGGGCTCAGACCAAGTGCCCGTGCTTGGCAGGAGCCGCTCCAGAGACCCCGGTCCTCCCTCACGCAGCCACTCGTCCACGCTTGGGTGTCTGGAGGGAGCCCTCCCTGACCCCGAAACAGGATTCCAAGTGCAGAGGGGCCGTGACACACAAGGAGGGACCCAGGCCTGGTGGCCGTTTCCTACCTTCCCCGGAAGCAGCCGCGAAAACCAAGGGGCGCACGGGGGACCAGCGCACGGCGAACACGTACTTGCGCGACAGCTGCAGCGAGGCCAGAGGCGGGGCCTGCAGCATGGAGTGCAGGTGCACGTGGCCATCTGTCCCCGCGCTCAGGAAGAGGTTCCTGGAGGGGGCCGGGGTCTCAGAGCGGGGCACCCCAGGGGGCTGGCCCTGCCCCTAGATTCTCTCGGCCATCAGGCTTGGGGGCAGTTTCCCTG